GGAAGGGACAAAGACAAGTCCTAGCCAGCCCTGTACACATCAATACGTGGAAATAGGGCCAGGTTCAGCCAAAATGGAGACAACTGCTCCTCCTTCAAGGAAAGTCGCCCAAGTGGTGCTCCATATCAGAAAGGGTTTTTGGGATGGCATTTTCTGGTGCCCTTCACTACAGATCCCCATGCCATGCAGCAACCAAGTGTGAGCTATTTTCAGAGTGGTATCAATGGACTTAACACTGTCACACACAATTCTGAAGTTTATTTGGGCAGCTACAATGATCTCAGAGTCCATATGGAAGATCGTTGTCATTGGTTCTCCCACCCTTTGGCCTTCTCCCATCGAATGGTCTTGCCCTTTCCACTACCTCAGTCCAGTATTCTCCCAGCTTGTAACTGCGGGCAAGACACGGATCTCTCACTCCACCCTTCCCTGTTCACTCTTTCCAGTTACCCATTCTAACTCACAGACACTCTGTTAATCTCAGTGAGGTAGCTTTTTGGACATTCGAGCAGAGATACAGTAGATGGTCACATGTTCTACAGTTCATGGGAGAGATCCTAGAGACACAGATGTTGAGTCCTGAGACCACACAGGTTGAGAAGGGGACTGTTACTAACTTTAAAGCCCTTGAATTCCCAAATTCCCTTACCTGTCTAAAAACAAAGCTTCTTCAGGAGTAGTCAGGAAAGATTAAGTCTCATCACAGACAATGTTACAAAACCACTGTATTTCCCATGCATCTTAAGTGCCTTATTTTCCCAAAAGTGCCCTTCTCCCTATCCCCTTTTCTCATGATGGTAAATAAACCCAAAACTTACTTTTTCTTTGAACCTATGAACCTTTCTCTCATGCTAATCTGGTTTTCGTTTGTTGAATTCACATGCTCCCAAACACTCAATGGAAGAGGGGAGAGAAAAAGTTTTCTTCCCATATATTTCTCAATGTCTTTTTCAGTTTTGGGACAAAGACGTTCAGGGACTGAGCCCCAACACTGTATTTTAAAATGTTAAAAGATTAGGAAGCAACAGCTATGTTACCAGCTTTGGGGGTGTTGAGAGTCTTCTGCACGTACACACGCGCACATTTGAGACAGGGTCTGGTTATGTAATCCAGGCTGGCCTTGAACTCATTTTTTAGACCAGGCTGGCCTGGAACTTGCGGTGATTTTCCTGCCTCCTCCTCCTGAGAGCTGTCTCCCTGTAGAGACGGTTTCTAGGTTCTTTCTGTCCTGAGCAAAGAATTGGTCAACAAAAGTGCAAGAGGTAGTGGTTTTATTAAAGGCAGGAAAAGAAACAGGCTCTGCAGAGTAAGTTTGGGACAAGAGCAAAAGTACACTCTACAGCATGAGGGTGGACCACCATGTAAGAGAACACAGTGGCAAAAACTCAGTGTGGACTGTCCTTTTTGTGTTACCCAACCCTCCGGCTGAGGCCAAGCCCAGGCCAGCCTGTGGAAAACCTGCTGGAGTTCTCATGAGAAATCCACATGCAGGGCTTTGGGAACTGTTCTACGTCTTGTGTCCTAGATTCTGTAATGTAACAGCTCCCACCTACTTCCCCAGGCCAGCTTTTCCATGCTCTAATCTCCTGTCTCAGCTAAGGGGAATGTGACAAAGTTAAAAACTTAGTAATTTCATTAGATGCAAGAAAATAACACAGCAAATCACTTATACATTAAGTATTAAAGCCCATAAATAGGACCCTAGTAAGTGCCTTTCTGTCTTCTAAAAAGAGTCAATCTAGGCAACTCCCTTTCACCTAAAAATGGGTTTACGCCTTCTCCTTTTCTTGCAAATGGCCTTCTTTCATCCAGGAACGGACAACTCTTTTGAAATATGAATGGACCATTATCACACTACATGTGGGGAATCCTCTCCTACCCCAGTCAAGACTAAAACTATAGATTATTGATTTCCATAGATTTCCACTACCCAAAACACATAAAAGATCACCAGTTCCCAACCCTATAATTTCTCTGAGCACCCAACTCCATTCTTTGGGCGTCTCCTGTATTTCTACTTATAATAAGTCTTCTCATGTCTTTTACTGACCCACCCTGAAAATTCTTTTTCCATGATGGAAGGCAATGAACCTGCAAACTTATTATAAAAAGGGTGAGTTAAATTCTTTATTTCATCCTTAAGAGATCACAGACCCAACCTAGTGAACAAGGTCTGGCTAAAAAGTAGAACATATGGGGGGAAAGAGAACCAGCAGAGACCAGCAGACTTGTGTAAAGGCAACATGGTGTGGAATTTATTGTGCCTGGTTGCAGGCAGAGAGAGCATACCCTGAACAAAGAGAAGTGTATCCCTTTTATGGGATGGAGAGAAGGCAGGGGACATTAGGTGGGAAGATCCCAAAGAACATCTGTGGCCAAAGTTCCCTGGCAGTCTTGCACCTCTATGGGCAGAGCCCTTGAAGAGTCCTGTGTAAATTCTCAAGTGTCTCCAGATGTCCCAGAACCTGCAAAATTCCTTATCTTATCTTACCTCCTTTTTAGTGTCTGGCAACTTTAGTACTGAGCTGAGTTCCCTGCTGAGAGCTGAGTTCCTTGCAAAGAGTAGTGCTTCTGCTGCCAAGCCATCAAACAGCAGCGTAGGAGACCACAGGGTCTTAGCACCATCGGGCAATGACAACTACACAACCCACCCTGGAAAGCACACTGGGACGTCCACCGCTGGTACACTGAGGATGCTCTCCCTCTGCTATTCCTCAGTCTCCTCTGGATCCATGTGTGACACATGCCTAAAACAGTTCCCTCAAAAGTAAATGCAAATCCGGGCGTGGTGGCACATGCCTGTAATCCCAGCACTCAGGAGGCTGAGGCAGGAGGATCATTGCGAGTTCGAGGCTAGCCTGGGCTACAAAGTGAGTTCAAGGCCAGCCTAAACTCCATAGCAAGACCCTCTCTCAAAAGACCAAAAAAAAAAGTAAATGCCAAGCCTGGTGTGGTGCGGCATTCCTGTAATTCCAGCATTCCGGGAAGCTGAGACAGGATAACCTTGAGGTCCAGGCCAGCCTAGGCTACAGACAGGAATGCCTGGATTACACAGCAAGATTCTGCCTCAAAAAAAGTGAACGCCAGAAAAAGCTTTCTTGAAGGGCCAGCACATTCTCCTACTATCATTTATGGCCTCCGGGAAGCAATATTGTAGGCTGAGGACCCTTCAAACCACCAACGTCCATTCCAATGTGCTCCCATATGGGAACTTCCATTCTAGGTTCTATCTTACTTTCCAATCATCAGCCTTGTGCTCCTATTCAGTGCTTCATGGACACTTAATGACAATAAATGCAAACACAGAGTTCTAGATTCTGCATATGAATGTATTTTAATAGATCTTGATGCAAAAGATGTTTCCTAAGGGAACCTCTGCATATTGGCCAGGGCCTGGAACAGAGATGTCCAATAAAAGCTTGTTGCTATGAAGCGGCATGTTTCTCGGAAAGAATGACTTTTTTGCACTTATAATATTAGATAAGATAAAACAAAGAAACAAGTATATGCTTTGGTTTTCATTTTTGGGTGTGTGTGTGAGCATATGCGTTACTGGGGATTGAATTTAGGGCCTTCAAACTGAGCTAGATCCCCAGTCCTTTAGGACCTTTTAAATTTTCGAATTATTTTCTTTGTGGGACAGGGTCTTGCTAAAGCACTAAACTGCCTAGGCTGAGCTCCAACTTTTGATCCTCCTGCCTCAGCCTTCCAGAGTGCTTGGATTATAGAGGTGTACCATCACGCTAATGTATGTATTTTTTAAATAGTCTTACAATGTAATTTGTTCGGTCTTTGGTCTTAAGTTCTTCTGCATTGTTGGAAATTTTTCAATATTATTTTTATAAATATTATAATAAGCTGGTTAATTTTTTAACTCAAACTCAAGAGCAAGGCATGATAGTGCAGGCCTGCAGTCACAATTACATGGGAGGCTGGAGCAAGAGGCTCAGTTGAGCGCTGGGGTGCCAGGTAAGCCTGGCATCTCTCACCCATCTCTTAAAAAAATAAAATAAAATAAAAAATCAGCTACCCACAGAAAAATTACAAGAGGGATCTCAATAGCTCTTTAGCAAAACTTCTAAAATTGTAGATAAGACTTATGTGCTAGAAATAAAAATATAAAGCATACTGGTATCTTTAAAACACCACGGTTAATTGCCCCTCCACCTGTAGTAACGCCCATGTTTTCCAAGTTTTTACCCATCCTGTATCAACTATTTTATCTTCACACACATTTGCAGAAAAGAGCTTTACGTCACCAACACTTCAGACCAGAAATCAGCGGCCGCACCACATCATCGGAAAAACCGCTTTGAGCTCGCCGTCTGTTTCTGCTCACTTCCAAAGGAAACGCCGAGGGGCCGCAAACTCAGGCGACTCGGCCGACTGTGCCGCCCCTTTCCGGCCACCCCTGGCCGCGTTCCCTCCCCGGGCTCAGCCGCGGTTCTGGCCGCCGCGGGCTCCGGGCTCCGCGCGCTCACGGGCAGAGCCGGGACTCCGGACCGAGCAGCGGGCACGAATCAGCCCGACCTCCGGGGCTTCGAGCACCGCTGCCCAGCGGCCCGCCCTGCCGTCCGCTCGGCGCTG